ATCATGTGCTCTTCCTTTTGTCGTATTTACCGTGTTCCATTTCTGAGCTGTTTTCTGCTTTTAATGTTGCAATTAAGGTGGATGAGTTAGAGAAGGCAATTTCTGTCGCTGAGAGAGATCCAGCTTACTATGGACTTAACGAGGTTGAAATTGGGAAACGGAGGAACTGGACTAGCACCGCCCGCAACCAGGTATGTTATTACATAATATTTGCTAATGTTACTGCTAACATGAATGATTAAGCTACAACCCGAAGTTCAGTAGCAAATTTAGTATGATATAGTATGTAACAAACTTGAAATTGTTCTAGGTGGTAGCCATACGGAGGAATGTTGAAGCTGGAAAGCACAAGACTGCCTTTGGACGTTCAGTCAATCCTTCCGAACTAGGCAGATCCAAGCAGCACATTGCTCAGGATAACGATGACTTCATTGCTTCAGAATCTGATCAACAGATGCTCCTGATGAAGTAACTTCTATACAAACTTAGCTTGTCTCGTAAGATTTATGTTTGCCCGTATATCTATTGAGAACGAAGAAATTAAGATTTAAAGATAAGAACCTAAGACTTAAAGATGAATTGAATTTCTTCCTCACAGAATCATGATGTTGTAAGTAGAAGCTCTGCATTTTATGTAATGCTACCTTCCAGAGGATAATTCTAGTTTTTTTGTACTTATATGAGCTGCTCTTAAACTACCATTGATAAATGGTTGTACTTCTGCAATAGGCGTCAGGATGATGAGTTGGATGCGCTTAGTGCTAGTGTCCAGCGAATTGGAGGTGTAGGTCTCACAATACACGAAGAGCTTGTTGGACAGGTATTCACTAACATTAAGAAATATGGGATGATTTAGATTTCCTTTGTTGGTTGCTTTCTTTTCCTATATTCATGAAGAGCCCGGTTAACTATATTGTGCCATAAGATGTCATGTCTTTCTCGCTTCGGTACTTATCTCCTTTTTTTACATTCATCAGGAAAAACTTCTAGGTGAACTAAGCCTCGACATGGAAACTACCTCCAACCGGCTCGATTTTGTGCAGGTATGCCTTATATCTTTTAGTGTAGCCCAGGACACGTTGTTTGGAACTCCGTGCATGTTTTTGCAACATATTACTGCAGCAAGCACAAATAATATATATCACCTAGTTTCTTTCTTCTGGATTCCAACGGACTGAAACTTCTCCACCGTTTTTGATTCGCAGAAAAGAGTGGCTATGGTTCTGAAGAAGGCCAGCTTGAAAGGGCAGATCATGATGATAGCTTTCTTGGTGGTTCTTTTCATCATCCTTTTCGTTTTGGTATTCTTGACTTGAGAGATGGAGTTTAAGTTGCATGAGTGTTTGCCATCAGGTGTAGAGTGCATAGCACATAAGTATAATTGATTCATGTAATTGTGTCTGGCCGTTATAGTTTTGTTCTTTGGGGATCTGCCTCTGCCAAGTAATATCAAAGTCATTTTTCGTGTAATATGGCGAATTTCAGTTGCATCTATAACAATCTCTACTCCTAATGGAGCAGTTGGTAGCCTCATACGGTTTATTTTCGTCCCACCTTCCATGGTTTTTTGGTACCTCCTCTCACCTTCGCTGGTTTTTTTGTCCCCTCTCTCCACCTTATTGGTTTATTTTCGCGTCACTCTCTAACACAACGAAAAAATCTGAGCAGATCAGAACTTTCCATAGTGGCGCAAGTTATTTAGTAATGTAGAATCAATCACGAACAATCTTTAAAAATAAAATCTAAATTAATTAACCTTACCTTAAATCACTCAATCACATTTATTAGAAAGCAAATATTTGATTTTTAGAAAAATTGTTCAATCACATTAACCTTATCTTAACTCACAGATGATGATCAATCTCCAAACAAAGAAAACAATACATAGAGGGAGCAGTAAATAAACTTCCTTTTTTATGACATGTATATGATCTTTTCTTTCCTTTCCGTTGTCGAGTGTTCTTGATTCTTGAGACCGATACTTGGGCTGCGTCACTGGGTCGCGACGGTGCCGGAGGACGAGGACGGCGAGGCCAGGTGCCGCGGTACCGCGTTGGTCTGGCCGGTGAAGGGGGCGAAGAAGGGCGGCTTCCCACCTTTCATGGTTTTTTTGGTACCTTCTCCCACCTTCGTTGGTTTTTTTCGTAGATTTTTTTGTCCCCTCCCTCCATCTCATTGGTTTATTTTCACGTCACCCTCTCACACAACGAAAGAAATCTGAACAGATCAGAACTTTCCATACTGGCGCAAGTTATTTAGTAATGTAGAATCAATCACGAACAATCTCTAAAAATAAAATCTAAATTAATTAACCTTACCTTAAATCACTCAATCACGTTAATTAGAAAGCAAATATTTGATTTTTAGAAAAATCGCTCAATCACATTAATCTTAACTCACGGATGGTAATCAATCTTCAAACAAAGGAAACAATACATAGAGGGGGCAGTAAATAAACTCCCTTTCTTATGACATGTATATGATCTTCCTTCCCTCTCCATTGTCGAGCGTTCTTGATTCTCGAGACCGATGCTTGGGCTGCGTGACTGGGTCGCGACGGTGCCGGAGGACGAGGACGGCGAGGCCGGGTGCCGCGGCACCGTGTTGGCCGCGGCCGGTGAAGGGGCGAAGAAGGGCGACTTTCTTGGCCGTGGCCCTCGGAGTTGGTGCGGTGGAAGCGGCACTTGAAGGACCCGGCGTGAGTGGCCGGCGTGCAGACGCACTTGGAAGCAGGCCCGTGGCCCGCGCTGGACGGCGCCGATGCCGACCCGGTCCACCTCCTTCGCGTATTCTTGGAGCTGTGGCTGGCCGATTTACATGAAATTAATTCCCTCAGTTGTGGTGGCAAATATAATACATATAATCCATATTGTTATGCACTAGTGTGTGTGTGAAATAGATGGATTATGGTCCTGTATCCAATAAGCTGGATATGTGTGTGTGTTAGAGAAAGAGAGAGGGAGAGGGGGAGAGAGTGAGGAAGAGTGTGTGTGTGAGGATTTGATGGTAAAAAAGGTCGCCAATGTAACTTGATATGTATGAGAATATTAATATTGAACTCTTTAAGTTAATTGGCCCCGTTGCAATGCACGGGTATTTTATGTGTTGTTCTCTACTATATTCAATACAGAAACTCGCCGAAACAGAACAGATAGATAAAGGAATGGAGGTACCGCCCATCCGACACTTCATGTTCGATCCCGATACAATTGAAAATCCGACGGATGTGCTGCACTATATGCTATGCATGGATGGCTGGACGTATAGCGTCATATGAAAATCACACACATACAAAGGCTTTTTCGTGTTGGGTTTGTGCCAATCTTTCCCACATCTGTTAATTCCTTCCTCTTCCTCCCCTTGCCGTGTCACCATATTTGGCATATCTTCTCTCGTGGACCTCGTTAACCCCTCATCCATCGTTATTGATTGTGCCATCCCCACCTTTGTCGTCGTCAACTTCACCTCCTTGATATTCACCTCTCCTTTGTCATCCTCCTTCACGCCTTCTCCTTCCCTGGTTGACCTACTTTCGTCCCATCTGCTATCCGTAGCAATTGGGGAGCATGTTCTAATGCCCTCGAACATGATTTTTTGAAGAGAAAAATGAAATCACCACGGATGCCCATAGGAGACACACAATTTAAGAGTAGCTGTAGAGCCGTAACCAAGAATGAAAACTCTCATTTGAGAATAGAATACATTGCTTTTTCATCTTGTGTTAGTACTGCATATAACTTACAGACGTGAAGAAGTTCTCAACATAAAGAAAGGGAAGATGATTTTGGAAGCTATTACTCTGTTAGTGCTTTACAACTGCAAAATATTGAAAGGTACAATGGAGATGTTCGGTGACTAAAGCAGCCAAATGTGATGCTTAACCATAACATGGGATTCTATGTTGCACTTCATTTTTTTAAGGTAGACTTGATCTCCCATAAGAATCGTGTTATACCCATATCGAATGCCCTCTAAATGTATTTGACTCTGGCTAACAGGTTGACATCGTAACCAACTTGCGACCATTGATCTCCTATGCTAGGGATAAAGGTTACGAGATCAATCATACTACTGGTGACGGTCATCGAAGCATCATTGTGATACGCCTCACATGTTTGACAAACCCCTCAAAAACTCCTCGGTAGCCTTCTTAACGCTTCATCTACATGGAATTTCAAGAAGGACACTTATGGAGCGCTCTAGTGTGGGGTGGGGTGGGGGGGATTGAGAATTTAAAACTACAAGGTGTACTGACGTAGTCTTCTTCTTGCACACCTCTTGCAACTTACGCGGATAAAGAAGAACAAAACAACAAAATATCGATGAACTTTGAAATATACATTCATAGACCCCCTCCCTTCTTTTCACCAAGAAGGCATTTTATGGGAAGTGACTCTTCAAAGCCCCCATATTCAGAGGTTTTTTCATAATAAAAGAAAAACTTCAATGATATATCTGATATTTTTAAAGGCAAATTCAGACTATCTGACGCGGCTTGGGTCGACATACGCCATCCACCCTCCCAGCTTGAGCCAGGCCTTAAAAAATTTTTTGGGAGAGAAAGCAGAGTAACCTTTTTTTTTCTAGGGAACGCACATTGGGCCGGAACCCACACGTAGAGCAGAGAAACGGGCCAGGCCTCATTAGCCCTAGCAAGATCCGCAAGGGGCATTTCCGTCCGACCGAACAAAACCCTCACCCCGGGGTCCCTCTTTATATAAGCTCTCCTAGGGTTTACGTGCCCTCCTCCTCCACACACACCACCCTCCCCCATCCGCCGCCGCCTCCACCTCTACAGGTAAACTGCGCCGCCTCCTCCCTTTCCCTCGTCTCTGCTCCCTTCTCACCGTCGACGGCGGCGGGCATTTCGTTGCCGCCAGGCTCTGCCGCCGCCGTTTCCAAGTCGTGAACTCGTGGTCGTTTCGTTGCGCTCTTGCGCTCTTGCGCTGCCTGGATCTGATGGGTTCCTGATTTGTTATCCACAGGGGAAGGAAGGGAAGATGTCGCACCGTAAGTTCGAGCACCCGAGGCACGGATCCCTCGGTTTCCTCCCCAGGAAGCGGTGCTCGCGCCACCGCGGAAAGGGTATGCCTGCTTGCTCTAGTTACTCTCCACCTGCAGATGATAGCCGTGATATGCTCTGTTTGTATGTTTAGTCGATCAAGTGAGGCGAGCCGGCTTGTGAGTATATACTGTTTGGGTGCGTCGCTTTTTGTTGAAACCTGCTTGGGTTAGTGACCTTTTCGTGTGCAGTAGTAGACTCGTAACTAGGAATCCACGCCATAATTTGGCTTCCTTAGATTGCCTCCTGACCTAGTCCTCAGTTGGAGTTTTCAATTAGTTCCTGTGCAACCTGTAATCCTTGATTTGCACGTCTCAATGGTTGTTTTGTTGTTACTGTGATGCTGTTTTTCATGTCTATGTAAGGAACACTTGATAACATTTATAATAGATTACACTTGCATGTGTGCACCAGTTTTCAGTCAATTTTTGCTAGTCTTGAGAGATGCCAAACACTTGATGCACTTTCAGCAAATGTATACTTTAGTAAATTGCTTACTTTCAAATTCGTAGTGTTTTTAGCTTTTCCTGTGATTACATCAGTGGCATGTGGAACACTGCCTGTTTGATATTTTAATGCTGCTTCCAGTCATTGCGAAAATTTGACATTCCATTGATCTTGGTATGTCAATCTAATATTTGCCTGTCTTAATTGCAGTGAAGGCCTTCCCCAGAGATGACCAATCCAAGAAATGCCACCTCACTGCCTTCCTTGGCTACAAATCTGGGATGACTCACATTGTGCGTGAGGTCGAGAAGCCTGGTTCCAGTATGTTTACTAACTCTCTGTCTATGTTCATATTCTTGTTTTACTCAATTGATTCCTTCCCACCATTATTGCTGTTGCAATGCCCTCTATCGTTACAGAAGTTGAATCATGAATCTGTTGACTCTATTTGAATTTGTAAATGGCTGTTGCATATGTGTGATAACACTCCATTTGATATTCCACAGAGCTGCACAAGAAGGAGACATGTGAGGCTGTCACCATTGTTGAGACACCCCCGATTGTTATTGTTGGACTTGTTGCCTATGTGAAGACTCCTCGTGGCCTTCGTACTCTCAACTCAGTCTGGGCACAGCATCTCAGCGAAGATGTCAGGAGGAGGTTCTACAAGAACTGGTGCAAGAGCAAGAAGAAGGCCTTCACCAAGTATGCTCTGAAGTATGACAGTGATGCTGGCAAAAAAGAAATCCATATGCAGCTTGAGAAGATGAAGAAGTATGCTACTGTTGTCCGTGTTATCGCCCATACCCAGGTCAGAAATTGTCTTGGTACTTTCTATCTTTTGCCCTTGTTGTTCACAGTAATGTTACTCATGTTGCTTTTCATGTGATTCAGATCAGGAAGATGAAGGGATTGAAGCAGAAGAAGGCTCACCTCATGGAGATCCAGATCAATGGTGGCACCATCGCCGATAAGGTTGACTATGGTTACAGCTTCTTTGAGAAGGAAGTCCCTATTGATGCTGTGTTTCAAAAGGATGAGATGATTGACATCATTGGAGTTACCAAGGGTAAGGGTTACGAAGGTGTTGTGACACGTTGGGGTGTCACCCGTCTTCCCCGCAAGACCCACAGAGGTCTTCGCAAGGTTGCCTGTATTGGTGCCTGGCATCCTGCTAGGGTGTCCTACACTGTTGCTCGTGCTGGTCAGAATGGTTACCACCACCGAACTGAGATGAACAAGAAGGTCTACAAGATTGGCAAGGTTGGACAGGAAACTCATGATGCCTCTACCGAGTTCGACAGGTGTGTTTTTGTTTTGTTAGTGTTAGTTTGTCATCTATGTACTTTCTGGTCTGAATTGTATCTGGTGATGATCCATTTGCACTGGTTTGATCTTACAGGACTGAGAAGGACATCACTCCCATGGGTGGCTTCCCTCACTATGGTGTGGTGAAGGCTGACTACCTGATGATCAAGGGATGCTGTGTCGGCCCCAAGAAGCGGGTGGTGACCCTCCGCCAGTCCCTGCTGAAGCAGACCTCTCGTCTGGCCCTGGAGGAGATCAAGCTCAAGTTCGTCGACACCTCTTCCAAGTTTGGGCACGGTCGCTTCCAGACCACGGACGAGAAGCAGAGGTTCTACGGCAAGCTCAAGGCTTGAGCTGCTGCCCCGCATCATCAGTTGTATCATTTTGTCAAAACGAACATGTGATACTTGGTTACTTCCCCTGCCTAAGTTTTGTACTAGGTGATGTTTTCAGAATCTGGCTCATCTATGAATTCTTCGTGTCATGTGCCTACTGTTATTGTGATTTAGCTGTTGAAACCTATTTAGAGTCGTACCTGGTTGCAAATTATCTGAAATGAGTCTGCTTGCCTAAAAGGTTGTTATCTTGTTTTCTGCGAGCTTTGAAGGAATGTGTACAAGCCATTTTCATTGTTACCGTACCGACTGTTAAAATTAGGTCAGCTTGTTCGAGTGACCACATGAAGGAAAACGATTCACATCGGTCGATTGTAGCGCCGGTCGCTTGCTCGTCCTCATCTCTTGGTCGCACGCTCGTCGCCATCCTCACTCAGCTCCTCTGCTTGGATGCTTGTTTCTTGGCGAGCTCCCTACTGGCCACCTCCAACCCATCCTCTCTTGGCTTGTCTCGTTTCTTGGCGAGCTCCTCCCCTGTCCCCCTTTGCTAACTCACGCTTGCTTCGCCATCCTCTCTGGCTCGTCTCGTTTCTTGGCGAGCCCTGCCCCTATTTTTGAACTCACGTTTGTCACCATTCTCTCTCGGCTCCTCACCGTTGATCTCTGCCACGAGTGCCTCCATGCCTGCTGAAGTGTGCATACTCACCGTTGATCTCCGCCATGAGTGCCTCCATGCCGGCCGGGGTGTGCACTTGCACCATGCTAAGCTACGGTCCACCATTGCTAGAACCAGCAAGTGGCGGAGCTTGTCACCAAAAGATGGGCAGGCCAAAGAGAAGAAAGCAGCCTACAGACTAGCCAGTGGAACCAGCGATGGCGAAAGTTGCAACCGGCGCCTGCATAAGCTATGATAGTGCCTGGTGAGGAGGAAGGGAAAACTGCAATCAACTCTCGTGGTAGCTACAATGTGCATCCTCACTGCTGATCTCCGCCACGAGTGCCTCCATGCCCGCCGGGGTGTGCAGCTGCACCATCCTAAGCTACTGTCCACCACTGCTGAAACCAGCGATGAAGAAAGCTGCAACCGGCGCCTGCATAAGCTACGATAGTGCCCAGTGAGGAGGAAGGGAAAGCTGCAATTAACTCCCGTGGAAGCTACAATGGGCATCTCACCGTTGATCTCCGCCGCGAGTGCCTCCATGCCCGCCGGGGTGTGCAGCCGCACCATGCTAAGCTACTGTCCACCACCGTTGAAACCAACGATGGCGAAAGCTGCAACCGGCGCTTGCATAAGCTACGTCAGTGCCCAGTGAGGAGGAAGGGAAAGTTGCAATCGGCTCCCATGGAAGCTACAATCATTTTGCTTCGATTTTTTTGCTAGAACCGACGAGATGGCAGGCTGCGATGAGGGAGTCGAAGTTACGACTAGCGTCCGTGGATGCCACGATGTTGATGTCGAGATGCTGCAATGGGTCACCGCGATGCTACGATGGGAATCACTAGGAGCTGCAACTAGACGGTGACACCCGATTGTTGAACCAGAGAGCATCGTTGTTGTAACCAGCGATGGTGAACATGGGTGTTGCGATAGGGGGATAGGGGGCGAGCTAGAACCACAAACAACCAGAGATGCGTTGGTGCTCCGACGACAACGATGGCCGAGCAACATCAATACCACCCGCAGGAAAGGGGCAACAAAGTTGCAATCGAGCTGTGGCCAGGCACGACGTGGTGCTACCGACCAACGCGCAACCGTCCATCCTCCAACTCGCACAGGGGTAGAGGGTTGACCACACGCGTCTCTCGTTTTGCAAGAGGGTCGCGGCTAAGAGGAACACATCAAGCGGTTTGGATGTGGCTGGTCCGGAGCTCGCGTGAGTTGACCAGCACGGAGCATCGCCCTATGAAGTACTTCATCCATTTTCATAATGTAGTGCGTACAGATTTTTTGCAAAGTCAAATATTGCAAACTTTGATCAAGTTGTAAAGAAAACTATTTTTCCTATAATATCAAATATATATAGAATACGAAGCTGCAACTCATTATGAATCTAAAGGTATATATTTGGCATTCTAGATGTAAATATTATTTTCCAGAAACAAACTTGATCAATTTGTGAAGTTTGACTTAAAAAAAATCTAGTGCACCGCTTGAGGGAGTATCGTTATCACAGGTGTCGCACGTGTCAGCAGGCAGGCCCTGTAGTGACGCGGAGCCCCTCCCGCAGTCCCACTTGTCGGCTGGCCTCAACTGACAGTGGCACGCAGTCCCTCCTTATCCTCGAACCGGTCCATCGAGGCCACACGCCCACGCAATCGCCCGAACGAACGTCTGGAGCGCCTCCACGTCACCCGTAGGGACGACCGTAATGCGTCCATGAACCCCAACACGCCACGGTAGGTTCCCCCTCCACCCCCGTCGACCTCGAGGACCCCTCCTCACTCTCTCCGCAGGCAGAGCGGAGCAGCGAGCCCGAAGGTGCGATCGATTCCTTCCCCCTCTCCTCGTCCCCCGTCGATTCTTCATTCGATTCGTGCGGCGGCGGCGGCGGCGGCGGCCAGGAGCCGATTCGACCCCTCGCCTCCGCCGGGGAGCGCGCGTAGGCGGCAGAGGCGACGTTGCCGGCGGGCCCCCTGTTCGCGCCATTCCGCGACGCGGAGCGGAATCGGTGTCACCGCCGTCACTCCGGCAGCTTCCTGGGGTCTGCGCCGCGGGCTGCTTTCCTGGATCAGGAATTCAGGGTATCGCGGGGCCATCTGCTCCTTCGTGTTCCCTTCTCTTCCTTTCGAAGAAACTCGCACCCTGCCGTCATGGCGTGTCTTCCTAGGCTTCTCATTCCGTTTCGCGTGGGTTTAGCTTCTCATCTCGTGCACCGTTTGCTGCAACCGACTGCTGGGGTTAGGGTTCTTGGGGGGTGTATGAGTCGCGGCCGGCGGTTATCCGATTTATCATGTCGCCTCTTACGTTTTTATCCTTGCGTCTCATCTCCTTTCATGTCTACTACCTTATTTCCGTGCACTTTATTCATGCTGCTGCTCTTGCCATGCTAAAACCTATCTTATTCATAGCCATGGATAGATACCAAAGGGTGGAGAAGCCTCGGAATGAGACACCGATTCGCGAGAATGAGATCAGAATCACTGCGCTCGGGAGGATGAGGAACTATATCGGCTATGGAATGTCGTTGCTTGAGGTGACTCCCCTTGCTATGCTTTGTCATTTCGTTTTGTCCTTATCTGGTGTTCAATAAGCAACAATTTCTTTGTATGCTATTTTTAACAATCTGGTAAATGCCTCGATAGTGGAGATATGTTCAGGAATACTGCTCAACATCCTATGCCTGCGCTCACATGTATTTAATTTATCATTAAGTGTTTCTATTTGCCACCGAGTATGATGTTAGATTTTTTATTTATAATTCTACTAGGTATGTGTCTCTGTGGTGCCACGGGGGAACACAGTAAGAGAATCACATGGGACAAATCTTGATGCAAAGCAAATAGACAAAATAACATTACATTTTGGTTACAAAGTATAGATTTCCAGCTATTTCTTAAACTGATAAAATAGATATGTGCCCATGATTAATCTGCTTTATTGGGTTACCAAATACTATATGAGTTCGATTGATATTTATTTACCTCTGGGCCGTGAATTTTATTGTTATTTATTGGATTACCAAAGATGACTGATCAGGACCAGGTTTTACCAGAAAAAACAATTTATTTATGGACCGTGGATTTATTGCTAATTTCATATACATAGATTTGGGTTACCAAAGATTGGTTTGATGAAATCAGAAGAGGTGAAAAACCAAAAAAATCGGTGGAGGGTGGGAGGTTGGACGAAGGATGGACAAAACTGAGTGAGAGATGGAACATTAGGTTCTTTTTAAGTAAAAAATAAATAAAGTAGAGACACCTGCCCGACTTTGGGTTTTCTTGGTTAATATTTTGTAGTGCTTCTTTGTCCACTACTTCTTGTTCGACCCTGACAACGGAACTTTGTGAAGCCTTTCAATTTGTCTTTGTTTCACTTACTTACCATTCGATCTTGATGCCTGAAGTATCTGCAGGTTATCAGCTTATAATAAAATGATATGAACTCGTGTGCAGTTCACATGAATGTCGAAAAGCTACCTTCATATTTGCATATACCGCTTCAGTCATTATTTTATGAAAACCTGTTGGTGGTCAGTGGTCAACAGAATTTTTCAGAATCCCTAAATGGTGTTAATCTTGACTTCATTTTGGTTGAATTCATAACTGAACCACTTTTTTTTTCTTCCTCCTACTGTATATTTATTTGTATGCATTTTTTCAGGAAAATGGGCATGATGAGATCACTATCAAAGCCATGGGACGAGCCATAAATAAGACGGTCATGGTTGCTGAATTGATCAAGGTTAATAGTAACTTCTTCTGCCTTAAAATATCTGTTATTAATGTGGTTATTTGTTATTTGTTTTGCTAATTTGACACATAATGTTCCTCAGAGAAGGGTTGCTGGTCTCCATCAGAATACGTCTATTGAATCTGTTGGCATCACCTACACATGGGAGCCTCTGGAAGAAGGCCTTGTCCCGTATGGATGTACATATATTCTTTTCTTCAGAAAAAGAAGAAAGATTTATTGCCACACTAATGCACTTTTACCACAGGCTAGAGACAACTCGTCATGTATCAATGATTACCCTAACATTGTCCAAGGAACCATTGGATACGTCATCTCCAGGGTAAGGCAAACCCTGTCCTTTCACTCATTTTTGTACAACCAGATATTGAATCAGTTCAGATTCAGCCGCTTTGAGTTCCCTTAGCTGTCTATTGTTGTTCAATATTGGAAACTGGCCGTAATTTGTCTGCGTATTGTGGGTATATACCCTTAGGTACCAGCCACCCATACCAGCTGAAGAGGTGAAACCTGCTTTTGATTATGAACATGAAGGTGTTGCTCTGAGTTGATCCGCTCCACCGATTTTTATTTTTCACATGTATCACCATTTGATCACAACGTCCTTCATGGTAATTTAGGATCCTTTCCCTCTGCTCGTGGGAGAGGTCGTGGTGGACCTGGTGGCGGCCGAAGGGGCAGGGGCAGAGGTATCTTCTTTTCTCATGTCTTTCTGAGCACACAACTTTCAGACAGTAACTCATATGGCCCTCAGATACGACCGTATCTTTATAACATTAACATTCCATGTTGCCAAGTTACAGTATCTTATTACGTACTCCCTCCGTCCGGAAAAGCTTGTCCCTCAAATGGATGTATCTAGCACAAAATTTGGTGCTAGATACATCCATTCGAAGGACAAGCTTGGGACAAGCTTTTACGGACGGAGGGAGTAATACATAATACAGTTTACTCCTTTACACATGCATAGTGGATTTTAAATGTCACCACATCTAATTTATGACACGCTCAACCTTTCATACTATTTCTTGCCTTTTTGTTTCTACATTGAATAGTTTAAATCTTGAGGGTGAATTCATTGGGCACCATCTAGTTTTCTTGCATTCTAAGTTCGCAGTGCTTCAATCGGCTCCATTTTCTGGACTTGTTTTTCAGTCTACATTTATAAGTTTGTCCAGAGTACATGCGTTAGTTTCTTGCAACAAATCATATGGACAAGAAACTATGTTAATTCTGTGATGATAAACAAGTACAGCTATTAGCAATGGACCCCCTCCTTATGACTGGGGTGAAGAATGGGAGGAGGATGGAGACTATTACTACAATGGTAGAGGCAGAGGGAGAGGCCGGCTAAGAGGAAGGGGAAGAGCCCGTGGCTACCACGGAGGTGGTCGACGTGGTGGCTATGGCTATGATTACGGTTATGGTGGCAGGGGTGGCTACTATGAAGAGCGGGGTGGATACTTTGATGGCGAAGCAGATGAGTATCAACCCCCTCCAGGCCGTGGTAAGCTCAGTCTGATGTATCATTGTTTCTGTTTTTCATTTTTTGCATGCCCCTATCTCACATGGCTTATGTTCCTCATGGTTTCTCAGGGCGTGGCAGGGGAAGAAGAATGGAGCAGAGTGAGTACTACAATGGCGAACCAGATGAGTATCGCCCTCCTCCAGGCCGTGGTAAGCTCGGTCTCACATACCATCTTCCTGTGGCTTTTGCATGCCCTTTCCTCTCATGGCTCCTATTCTCCATGGCTTCGCAGGGCGTGGCAGGGGAAGATGGATGGAGCAGAATGAATACTTCGACGAACCTTATGAATACCCTCCTCCAGGCCGTGGTAAGCTCGGTGTGACCTATAATGTCGCCGTGCTTCTTGCAAGCCCCTACCTCTCATCACTAACATTCGTCGCTTTGCAGGTCGTGGCATGGGAAGAAGGGGAGGGCCATGGCGCGCCCGAGGCCGCGGGCGTGGCCCGATGCTAGATTGAACTGGGACATGCCAAGTGCAGCAAACCATGAAGCTAGCACTGCTGTGCTTAATTACCTGATGGTTTTTGCTTACCCTGTTGCTCCATGTGGGGCTCTCTGACGTGAATCTTTATGCGGTCTGATGCTGTACGACTTGCCGCCGGGCAAATTTTGTGTGGCTTACCTGTGGTTTGTTTAGCTAGGCCAGCCAGCAAAGTACCTCAACACCTAGTAGAACGTGTGAAATATGTTTCGGCCTCCCGTTTAGTTATCTCGGGTTTTACCTCTCTGTGGATGTGAATGCCAAGCAGGCTTGTTTGCTTCGAAGTCTGCCGTATCTCTTTCGCTTGTTGGAGCTAGACAGAGAGATTAGAGAAGGGAGATTAAGGTGAGAGTTTGGTAATGCGGGGGATCACACAATAATCTCATCTCGTGAACCTGTTTTACTGTTTGGTTAGCCGTTCTCCGTGTGAAATATGTCCTGATCTCTTACAAAGTTTAGGATCAAGAAGCAGTAAGTTCAACAGATTGCAGCCGTCGCAAACTAAGCACAAAATAGACGCATGTTCGCCTTGAATCTGAGGCGGAAGCCCGTCGAACACAAAGTATAATGTGACATCATATCAGGTTCTCCTTCAGTACTGAGTGTATTTTTTACTATCAAGTGCATCAAATGTACTCCAGAATATACCTGTGCGGACGCTCAAAAAAAAGAGAATATACCTGTGCGTAAATATACACGGCCTGCAGAAGAGAGCGAGGAGACTGGCTAGTCAGCAGTCAAAGTCTTCCTCGCAGGAGAAATAGTCAACCGCAATCCGCCGAACGTTCTTGACCCCACGGGCGACTCTTCCTCTTCCTCCCACTCTCACGAATCAATAGGCCACATCTTCCTCCCCACTTCCGTGGTTACCCGGCCCTGCAGCCATGGACGGCGTGTACCAAGCGCTGGTCGTGACCGTGGCTGCCTCCGTAGGCATCTCCTTCCCCTGCCTCCTCGTCGCCTTCCTCTGCCGCCACCGCAAGAACCGCCTCCTCGAGCCGGACCACCGCTGCCCGTCGTCGTCGTCCCTCCCAGTCTCCGCCCCGATCGGGATATCGTCGGAGCTCTCCTCGTCGTGGTCTCTGTACGGATCGGCCGTCGACTCCTCGCTCAAGAAGCTCTCGCTGGACGACCTCGCTAGGGCCACCGGCGAATTCTCCCCGGACAACATCATCGGCGACGGCAGCTTCGGGTTCGTGTACCGCGCCGTGCTCCCGGACGGCGGGCCCGCGGTGGCCGTGAAGCGCCTCTCCGCGGACCACGCCGCCGGCGCCGGCAACCGCGAGTTCCGCGCCGAGCTGGAGGTGCTCGGCAGCCTCAGCCACCGCAACCTCGCGCGCCTGCTCGGCTACTGCGCCGCCGGGCGCGACCGCCTCCTCGTCTACGAGCTCCTCGAGCGAGGCAGCCTCGACGCCTGGCTGCACGGCGACGCCGCCTCGGCCGGTGGCCTGCTCCCGTGGCCCGCGCGCCTCCGCGTCACCCGCGGCGCAGCGGCCGCGCTCGCCTTCCTGCACCACGACCGCCACCCGCCCGTGCTCCACCGCGACGTCAAGTCCAGCAACGTGCTACTCGACGAGGGGTTCGAGGCCAAGCTCGCCGATTTCGGCCATGCGAGGGTCGTCACCGGCGGCCCTGCCGCGTCGCAGCTCAGCACGCAGGCCGCCGGCACAGCGGGGTAATGCACTGGCCTTCTTGCAAATCACTTCACTTCAGAGTTCACATTTTGCGCATGTTTTCAGTGTTGAAAGTAAATACCAAATCAAGTTTCAAACAGACCCGTAAACCTTTTAGAGCACGAATGCATCAGACGACATGAAATTCGACTGAATATAGTGAAAAGTTGGATGAGGCATAGTTTAAACTGACTTTTCAGTAGACCCACCTCGTCCTGCCGTCCTTTTATATGGAAAACAAATATAAAAATACGAGACTATCTAGGACTAGCCCTTGGAGGTATATTTCTATTGAAGAAACTCTAAGCACAACAAGTCGCCCCGTGACTCCGTGAAGCGTATACGGTGACTGTTGCTGCGCACCGATGTGATCTCAGTATCATACGATAAATCGGTATTCTTGATTATGACCAACAAGTGAATTTTTAGAACAAGTTCAATGACCACTAATGAGTTTTACTCAGATTTAAGTAGCCCAACATCGTTTCTATGGAGGCAGGAGTGGTACCACCTGCCAAGCTATGTTTTTCTAGGAGGACCAAAATTATTATCTAACTACTTTGTGGTTGCATGTTTTGCATTTTTGTTCACATATGAATACAAGGAGTGGTTTAAAGTTATGCATAGAAGACAAGCTCAGTGCAGCGAAGTTGAGTATGTTGTAGTTACGGTAGTACGGTTTACGATTTTTAGGCAACAAAATACTAGTTAGATTAAAACATAAATGGACACATAGTTCGGTATTACAATGCCTTTCTTTGCAATAGCAAACACCACATTTCTCATATTTTAGACCATCGATAGGATTACTGTGCTTCAAAAAGGATATATGTGATCTTATGTTTATGCAACTGTCACAAAGGTACATGGCACCAGAGATACGTGAAGGCGTGGGAGCAAGCGTGAAAGCAGATGTGTACAGTTTTGGCATGCTAATGATGGAGACAGTGACCGGTCGACGACCAAGCTGGCCAATGAAGAACATTAGAGGTAAGGAAGTAGAACTATTGAAATGGGCAAGGGAAAAGGTTGAGGCCGGCATATCCTCGGAGATTGCGGATCATCGAATGGGTTTAGAAGGGGAAAAGGAAACAAAGGAGGTGAAAGCTTTCTTGGACATCGCACAAAGTTGCACAGAGGAGTCTCCTAAGTATCGACCGACAATGAAAGAGGTGGTAGAGAGGCTCAATAGGCTGTGAAAGTTTCAAATCAAATGTTCTCTCTAATTAAGATTGAATGACAACAAGAAAAGCTCAGCGGATTGACTATGCCATGATCAATTTGAGTTCCCCTACTGTAACATATAGGTCTTATGCTAGTACTTAGTTTGTTTTACAAATTGTGCGTATTTTGTGTATGAGGAGCTGATGACATGTGTGAAAAACACATATGTATTTCGAGTTGTACAAGGAAAATGGGCGACCAATATGTCTTACACCCTTCTAGGCACCCCCCTCACCCCCGCTGTATACACACCACTACTCGATTCTAGCACCTCCAGTAGGCATCTTTCTTCATTACTAACCAATTCAAGTAGTCAATAATGATAACTTTAAGGTCTAGAGCATCATCCAGATTCCCATATCCATGCTCTAGCTATCAAGCAATAGAGGCGGAACAAGTCACAAGCTAGGTAAAACTGTTGAAACCATGTCGCTCATACACATAATATGAAAGATTTAGCAAGGTGGGAATGTTTTTCGAGCTATCTATTATGCTTGTTTGATTAAAGACGAAACCCATGTATGAAACTATTTACAAAGACTCTCAAACTGAACTATCTCTGTGCAATTCTAGTGTTGAGAGGGCATTTTCTTCAAACACTTGCGCATACAATACAGAATGCATTCTCAGAAGATGAGGGAGAGCATTACTTGAACGATTACCTAGTTACTCTTCCTATAAGAGCGTTCTTTATAAAGTATTGCATAATTCCATCCAATGGCGACATCAGGCCCTAGGTAGCCTGGGCTGCCACCTTGGGCATGGCCGAGAAATCCTTCATGGACTGTAGCTACAAGGCCGGTTTGGGCTGATCTTGACTCTGCCATTGTTTCCACCCTTTTCCTTCTAAGCATGAAAAATAGAGTTACGGTGTAATTTTATCTTTTGTTATGTATTTTATGCTATTGGTTTGGAAAGCTGTGCAAAATTGCCCCCTCTATCATTAAGAACCCGGATACAACTGTAAGGTTGGTTTCAAAGATGCAACACAACAGGAGTCATGTGGATGCCAAATTATTGCTAGAAAACAACTGAACAATTTCAAGTGAAAATTATAAAACATGAGAGTTATTCCAAACCATATATGAATTAATTTTCAAGTAAAATTATATGCTCAAAATTACAAGTGGATTATGTTGCTCACGCAACAATTTCCCCCGTTGAATGATTTTCTCCATTCTCTTTTGTTAGACTCTTTCCCTCTGTTATGGAATAGATTTCTCCAAATTATTTTTTGGTAGCAGTGTGCTATGAGGTTTTGCTTGATTCTAAGAGGGGAAAAAATCTACGATAGTAAAATACCCAAGGGGATCCCCTCTTTCCATTGGGACATCTTCTCCACCAGGACATTATCTGGCAGTTAACGAAGGAGGTGAAACCCTAGGCGCAAAGTCCAAGTTTCCGAATAGCTTAGGCCTAACCTCATACTGGGTTAGCATATGACTCAAACTCACTTGTGGCTTTGTCCTCACCTTGGGCAAAAAGGTAATACGAAGTTGCTACCACATGGACTATTGAGTTTATATGTTGGTGTGCACTCACTTTTATAAGTTAGCGAAGCTTATCGCAACCATACTCACACACATGGGCCATCATGAGAAATGGCCAGGATGTCACTATGGGCAAAAATAATGATATTTAGAATGCCAATAGCATCTATATAGCCATTGATAGATTAGAAAAAGCAGAAAATAGATCCTAAAAACAATATAGAAATCCATAATAAATCTAGACATTTTAGATAAATCACAACTAGTATAACAAAAACCATAATTTTAACAGAAATAAATACAAATATGTGAATAATACTAGGAAAACATCAAATTTTATTAGTAGGGCAAGTAAGTTTCCAATTCATGTGCATGGGATTATGAAGACATGCGGCACACTAGTCAAACAAAGAACAAAGCAACACAACTCATCTCATCTCAAATAATGGTTTGAACATCATCTCTAGTCCTACTTACCAATTGACCTTTTCCTTTCCCTTTTCATGTAAAAAACTGCTAACTTTATTTTATTTTACCATAGAACAATTTTCCATGGTCTTTGCATCAAAATATGAGACATGCAAAGATCATAGGATTGGAGATGAATCCATCATTTCATATATGAGAACAATATGAAATAGACAATCTCATTGACACATATACAAACATACCTGGAGACATGGATGAATATAGAAACACAAGGGAAATCATGGCATGTCCCATCCATGGAAAAGAAGGTCAAAAGATATAGGAAATGAACTAGGGGTGTAGGAGGACATCTATCAACGCGTAGGCATGTGTTTCTTTTCATACCGGGAATCATTCAACCACAAAGGACTAAATTTAAGATCCACCCTAAAATTGATTTTAGGCTCGCTCCGATTCCCTCCATGATGTGATACACATAGGCTAGTTTACATGATTTTGATTCTTGTTTGAACTTGCAACAAAAAAGATCTCTAGGTGGACATGGTGCTCCCGATCTCTCTGCCTCTTTGGATAGAAGCACCACACAAATTACCTCTGCTTGCTGAATACATGACCGTGCATTACACACATTGTTCCATCTTTTCCCTTGTGCGTCGTATGGTGTCGCGTGACAATATTCTCACGAATAACTTTACAACTATCCACTTTTGTTTCTCTTTCACGACTCCCATTTCATGACAACATAACCAGACTTAGAAATTTAGTCGGTTCTCACCTCCTCAGATGCTTCGGTTCGAATAGCTGTAAGAAGATAGTGTGCAATATTACAAAGATAAACCCATGGTGAAAAAATGCATAAGTTAGATTTTTGAGGAGCACAAGGGATCCCCTCGATGGAGAGATCATCTCCATCGGTACCCTGTGTCACACCCTGAAAATTGCATGAATTAACTAAAGCAGACACCAACCATTAATTGAGCCATCATTTTTAAAATGATATTGCCTTGACTGATTTCAAGTGTTTATCTTCATTTTTTATTGGATGTTTCAAAGTTTATCTTAGTTGTTTTATTTGGTGTTTCCATAGGATTATATTTCATAGAAAATCCTATAACTATCCTCTTCCAATCATATGGCCTAAACTATTCCCACTGATCATGGCATGTGGTTAAACCCCCATTTTTTGGCCAAAAAGCAATTAAGCCCATCTTCTTTTCCAACACTCCAAAGTAGAGCTTTGAACTATCTATATTTTTTTCCATAACATAAATTTATTAAATTCATTTATGAGGTCTATTATATATAAGATTACCATTCCCTTCAAAAAATATTAGTTCCAAAGATATTAAGTATTTTTTGGATTCTTTTGAAAGGCCAGAAATGGCACCCCCAAATTTTTGTGGAGATACTTGTTTGATCTTTCTGGTCAACATATGTGAGTCTCACCACATGGTCGTGTGTACTCCCTGCGTCCATGAATAAGTGTCTATCTACCTTTTGTCCTAGGTCAAAGTTTTATAATTTTGACCAACTTCATACAAAAGAGCAGTGATATATATGACATCAAGTTGATATATTATGAAAGTACATTTCAAAATGGATCTAATGATACTAATTTAGTGCCATAAATGCTACCACTTTTTTCGATAAAGTTGGTCAAAATTTTAAAACTTTGACTTAAGACAAAAGTTGGAAGTACACTTATTGGCAGACAGAGGGAGTATCATGTTGCCCAAACATCAATCAAACGTCCTTGTGGTCAAACCTAGGGTTTGATGTTTTGCTCATTCCTCTTGTTGGTAAAATCCCTAGAAAATTACTAGAGACTCTCCTCATTACCCATGTCACGATGGTGTTTAACTAATGATGGGTGAATACTAGTTCCATGCTCGTTTGTGGTTAATTTTCTATGAAAATTGAGAAAAGTACATGAATGTATGAGAAGACCAATAAACTACCCTGGAGAAGATCTTGCTAATTGTACGACAATATGAAATTCACCCTAGAAAATATATTATATCCGAAGAGCTTCCTAGGCGATTCTTGGAGATAAGCTATTTTTCTTGCTCATGGGTTCTTCCCCTTTACCTCCTATTCAGATGATACCACATAAATGATCCAACTCTTTCGCATTGCTTCATCTTTTTCTGTATGCTAGCTCCTAAGTTTGGATATTCTGCACTGAAAAGAAAACATGATATGAGAAGCCATATCGACGCTTGAGGTTGACGCCCCCGATTCAATCGTACACTAATCATACACGCAAACGTGTACGATCAAGATCAGGGACTCACGGGAAGATATCACAACACAACTCTACCATTAAAATAAGTCATACAAGCATCATATTACAAGCCAGGGGCCTCGAAGGCTCGAATACAAGAGCTCGATCATAGACGAGTCAGCGGAAGCAACAATATCTGAGTACAGACATAAGTTAAACAAATTTGCCTTAAGAAGGCTAGCAAAAACTGGGATACAGATCAAAAGAGGCACAAGCCTCCTGCCTGGGATCCTCCTAAACTACTCCTGGTCATCGTCAGCGGGCTGCACGTAGTAGTAGGCACCTCCCGAGTAGTAGTAGTCATCGTCGACGGTGGCGTCTGGCTCCTGGGCTCCAACGTCTGGTCGCAGCAATCGAGTATAGAAAGGGGGAAAAGAGGGAGCAAAGAAACCGTGAGTACTCATCCAAAGTACTCGCAAGCAAGGAGCTACACTACATATGTATGCATTGGTATCAAATGGATTAATGGTATCATATGTGGACTGAACTGCAGAATGCCGGAATAAGAGGGGGATAGCTAGTCCTTTCGAAGACTACGCTTCTAGTAACCTCCATCTTGCAGCAGGAGAAGAGAGTAGATGGTAAGTTCACCAAGTAGCATGGCATAGCATAATCCTAACTGATGATCCTCCCTTCGTCGCCCTGTGAGAGAGCGATCACCGGTTGTATCTGGCACTTGGAAGGGTATGTTTTATTAAGTATCCGGTTCTAGTTGTCATAAGGTCAAGGCACAACTCCAAGTCGTCTTGTTACTGAAGATCACGGCTATTTG